GATTTTGGCCTGCCACAATTACGAAAACAACATAATCGTAAAAAATGATTATTTTGCTTTGCTAGGTTGTGACAGTGCACTTCAACATATTTGATCTAATTATTTTTTTAGTAATGTATCATTTATTTAATTAATTTTTGTATTGGTTTTTCAGTTGAATTATATGTTCAGGGTAATCAATAGTTAAAAAGATACTGTTCAAATTATTATCTGTTTTAAAGTTCAATAAATGGATGTTTTCAAAGTCAATGAATAATCATATTTAATAATCGTGATATTAATTATTGACCAACATAATCTTGATTATTGCCATAATAGTGTGTGTGTGTCTGAGAGAGAGTGACAAGAGCTATATTCAGAGCAGGGTTTCCGCTAGGATTTTTTCTCGCCGGTCAAATGTCCGGGCAGAATTTATTTTACCGGACACATTTGAAAATTACCGGTCATATTTCAATAATAATAATAAGAGTTGTGTAGCAGAGTTTCCGTTAGCAGGTAATTACCGGACTATGAGCAGATATGCTTCAGTTTAAAACTCAGTTCACGGGGCTCATTTTTATATTGCTTCAGTTTATAATCGTAACAGATCGAAAAATTCAGATTCATTTTTCAATAAATTATTCCACAAACAACAAACAACATCATTATTACATTCAAACAAACTACTTGTAGTAGATAACGTACATTATTCAAAAGTTTACATTAACTTTGAATAATAACGGGAGAAACGGATCCTCTCTTTTCCCCTCTGCCTCCCTCTCTCTCTCTCTCCTGACAGCCCGTCAGTTTCTCATGCAGCTCCTGCAGCTCGCTAAACAGTGGGCGGGGCTTCAGGTGATCATGCAGAGCTGCGTGTCTCTGTCAGACTCGGCAGCTGATCTGATCTCTCTCGCGTGTCCGGTTATACTTCACTCGCGTTTATGTCCATATCGATCAGATCCAGCTCTCCTGATCGGCCTTTATAGAGAGCACCGATCAAACTATTAAGAGTGAATATCGGCCGATAATGACCGGCGGCCGATCTATCGGAGCCTCCCTAATTATTACCAGACATTTTGACCGGCAGGTTTTGAATTTACCGGTTTTTAATACATTTTACCAGCTAAAAACCGGTAATTACCGGCTAACGGAAACCCTGATTCAGAGCTCTGCTGCCTTGGCTACACTATTTCATCGTTGCTGTTGTATGATTGGTGTTTAGCTACGGTATTTAGCGTCTACAGCACCTCCGCTTTTAGGGTTGACGTAGACCCAAACTTCGCCCGGAGGTCCCCCGGTGTTGTTGCGGGAGCTGCTGCACTAGCTAACGCTACATTAGCAAAACAAACACTAATTTATTTTGCAAAAGGTGCAGCGGGCTTCAAACACGTTCCCTCCACTGGTTTCAACCAAGCACTAAATTAGACGTTTTCCAACCAAATACGGTTGAACTTACACTTCCCCATATTTATTTGTAAGTAGATTCGAAGATAGGCTACATGAGCTGAAGTTTGGTTGCTAGGTTACTAGCTGGGTGTTCTCCAATAAGGGGCCGGGGGAAACAAAGTTAGTGATTACTGGAGTGGTTCTATGTTGATTTAATTCAATACAAATTGTTGGGGGGAACTGAAAGGCTATTACCGCACTGGTTACTTTGCAGCCCGGACATTTCCCCCAAAACACATTTAGACGCTATCGCAACATAGAAGTAGCCTACCTTTAAAATCCGATAATTTTTAAGACCTTCTGAATCATATTTAATACCTTTTTAAGGCCTTACATTCTGATTATCAAATTTAAGACTTTTTAAGACTTGTTAAGACCCCGCGGGAACCCTGATTGTAACTTTTTTAATTCTTTGAACTTCTCCCACCACTGACAATAAATCCTGAGTGGTTACCAAAAAAAACCCCTGCTCTGAAGGTTATTTTAATTTTACAAATCCTGCACTCAGCTTTGCTTTCTCCAATATCATGGAAAAGCAGCCAGATGCTGCTTCTTTTTTCGGTTTTCGCTCATTTCTTGACTTTTTCCGACGCGTATGCATTTAAATCCGGCTCCCCGTCTCCCCGTCACTCTGTGCAGCTGGCCTGTACCACTACACATGCTGTGCCCCCCACCCTTCTTTCACATAATGGTATGATCCTAGTGTGTCCTCGCATATGATTGGCCGCATGGTGGCCCAGCTAAATAAAGACCCGCCCCTGCCTGCAAGGATTCTCAGCAAGAGTAGGAGCGGCTGAAGATTCTGCTTTCCCCGACGGGAGTCTGCTCGTCTAACGGCAGCTCGCGATCGGCGTGTTGGAGACCTCTGAATTAAAGTATCAAGTCACCTCAAGTCAGAAGGCTCAAGTCCAAGTCAAGTCCCGAGTCATTGGTGTTCAAGTCCAAGTCGAGTCGCAAGTCTTTTGTGATGTTGTCAAGTCGAGTCTCAAGTCATAAAATGTGTGACTCGAGTCCAAGTCATGTGACTCGAGTCCACACCTCTGGTTTAAAGCCACAATAGTTGGCTCCAGGTGCCACATTTTGAATGTAGTAATGTTTGTTCAGTATTCAGCAACTACAGACTAAAGACAAAGTTATGTTTTTGTTACAAGAGAGACAAATGTTGTCTGTTTAAATTCATTGTACTCACGTGACGTCTAAGAGTAAGAGTGCAATACATATTTTCATTGAAACGATGAGAATCGTGTGAGAATCGTGATCTCAATTCTTATGGAGGAAAATCGTGATTCACATTTGAGCAAGAATCGTGCAGCACTACTGTAGTATGTGACGTGTGAATAAACTCCAACTCTGTATCAACAACACTGTTGTGTAACTTCAGTTAAATACTTGTATGTGTGTAGATTAGAAAGAGGTAAGATAAAGGATCTGCAGTATTTTATGAAGTATTAATCGTACAAAGGTCAGTTTTATACAAGTAGAAGTGTGTATTTACCTGGTAGTAGGCTGTCAGTAATGCCTCTCTATTTGGACTGGTAGATCTCGGCAGACTGGCAACTTTAAAAGTAGCTCTCGGTTCAAAAAAGGTTGGGCACCCCTGGTGTAGGGGTAGGGTGTAGGGGGCGGTTTGGGATTGGGCCTTAGTTCATCAGAACTAAAAGAGTTCTCATGAACTGAGTTCTCATGAACTATTGTGGTAAAAGAACTTGGTGTGAACGCCCCTAATGCAACTTTTGCTGAGTTCTGATGAACTATTGTAACCCTTTCAGCTGATTCTGACCGAAACAAGACTCCAACCACAAGCCTGTCTGACAGATATGGAAAAGTCAAACAAAAGGCTTCTAACCAGAATTGAAGACTTGTGGCAGCGCTTAAGGCAGAGCAATATCAAGATAGTTAAGACAGCAAAAGGTAAGGAGGAAGAGAAAGGCAGACTTCATCACTATACTAAAGTTACTGGTGATGAGCAATTCAGCAAAGCCCATTACAGTGTATCGGACGTACCGTGACCCTATAGGACTCATCATTGCAAACTGTATAGCCTAACTGGATGGTCCTCACTTAGTATGCGTAGGATGCAGCATTGGTTTTTATTCATGTATAAAGCCATTTTAGGTAAGCTTCCACTGTATATATGTGCCAGATTTGTTCCAGTTTGTAACTCTTACAACCTCAGAACCAGTGCCTGGATACGGTTCCAGGTACCTGCCGTGCGGACTGAGGCTGCAAAAAGGAGTCTTTTTTATTATGGTCCTTGGTCTTGGAATGACCTTCAATCAAGCCTCAAACTGATGGCACTTGTCCCAATAGCCTCTTTTAAATTGAAGTTGTCTGAGGTCCTTACCACCAGCTGCTCTTGCAGTAATAAGTAGTGCACCTTTCTTACTGTCCTAATGTGCACAATGTAGTGACTGCTTTTTCGTCTTTTGTTTTCTTAGTTGTGTTCTCTGTATTTTGCATGTTTTTGGTATGTGTAACTTTGCTGCCTTCTTGGCCAGGTCAGCATTGTAAATGAGATTTTATCTCAATGCTTTTTATCTGGTTAAATAAAGGTTAAATACAAATAAAAACCCTGCACCCAAACCCATGTTTTAGGGATCATCGCCAGGATTCACTTCTACCAAGAGAAGGAATTGATTCTGCCGTTAAGTCAACAACAACAAATGATCCACAGCAGCCCACTTGTCAACGTTTACCCAGATGACACTGCAGAGGATATGGCACATGGAACAGGATTATGTTAGTTAACCAAACCGTCACTGAGTGGGAGGTAAAGTACTCTGAGTCAATGAGCTGACTTTTACCAAGTCAGGCTTTCCTTTCAAAGTGTGTCGCTTGCTGAATGCATTTTAATCTGACTGGGCCACTGGGGGAAAACATTCTGGTGGCTTTCATGTCATTGAATACGCCAGAGCTTTTGACTGATTTATTTTAAACTTTGAAGAGGTTTGGATTTGGGAGGTATTTTGTGGAATGGATTTAAATTTGCTTTCCTTAAACCTCTGTTACAACAAGTGATACCATAACTTCAGCTGTGTGAGACAGGGAGATGACTTTTCACCTTTCATTTAATATAGAACTAAAACCTTTGGCAGGGGGGATTAGAAGTAATCCTAGCATCAAGAGTAATGAACTGTTACTTCAAAAGTTCTTGTTACGTTTTACGCCAACGATGAACTTGATATTTAACAAGGGCGGACTCCCCTCCTTGCAGAGCAGTTTAAAGTGAAGGCCGAAACATAAACACAATTGGTTCCCACATATCTGCCACCCCATACCAGATCCAATATATAAATTATAAAAATGTAACGTAACACATACAGCCTTCGGTTAGTGCCACAGTAAGATGAGGTTGTTTGGGATATTTTCTAATGTACATGTTCGGGCCACTGCCTGACTGACTGATTGTTAGAAAGTCAGGCTTTACACAGCTTTAAATATATCAACACTAGAAGACGGATTCAGGATATAATAAAATACATGATAAAGAATGAATTAGACATCTCCAAAAGGCAAAAACACCAGACAAAAACCAAAGTGCATATATCGGCCACAGATGTGACATTTTTTTTTTTTTTTTTTAATGGGACTTTTAAAAATCTGAATCTATGATATCAATCATTACATTCTGAATCTATGAAGTCAATCAATACTTAAGGATTTTTCACAACTTGTTATACGTTTTTTATTGTATGTATTTTGCATTCAATTTGCAGATATTGTGCACACGTAAGGATGACAAGATCAATGTGGAGGAACACTTACAAATCAATAATCAATAATGACTTAAATCTTTTATTTTTTTTATTAAATCCTTAAATGAATATATAACCTACCGACTTGTTAACCTACTCTAGTTTCAATGACAAAACATAAACAATTGTTCGCATTTATTGTAACTATTGTACTTTTTACAATCATAATCACTATAAAGACGAATGCTCACCAAAAACCTGTCACAGGAAAATAAGGCATAGTGCTGTAGTACATTTCACACTTCCATTGGCTGAGCAAGAAAGATCAGCGGCATCTTTCATCTAGGTTTTGTTTTATCTGTAACAAATGCATTCAAAACGGCTCTTAATGCAATGATTTCCATAAAAATACTCACCACTACTTTCATAAATGTGTAAGCACATTTATGGTTGAAGAATGGGGGTTAAGTATTTTCAGATTGACAATAAGATAAAAGCATTTCTTAAACCAAGGATAAAAGAAGGCATAGATGATTGGATTTAAGGTTGAATTGAAGTAACCCAACCAAACATAAGCCTCAAAGAGAGCAGCAGGTGTGTTAAAGCCAGTGAAGGCATCGATTATTGTGTTGGTAAAAAATGGCATCCAACAAAAGATAAAGGCTCCAAGCACAATACCCAGAGTCTTTGCAGCCTTATGCTCAGACTGTTTAACCAACCCTCTGTCGTTTGAACAATTGCCCATATCTCCAATCTTTCTGACATGCTCTTTTGCCACGATAAATATTTTAGTGTACAGACAAACCATAACAGTGCAGGGAAAGAAAAAGGAAATTACACTGTCCAGGATTGCCCAAAGGGGGTTTAAGAGGAGGTTACAACTGCCGAGGCACTTTATCGATTCCATATACTCCTCTAACCCTACTACGTTAGCCTTTGAGTACATTTGTCCATAAGAGAAGACGGCAGCCAACGCCCAGCATGCACATACCATAATCCACGCCACTGACATGGTGATATTCCTAGAGTAATGCAGAGGATTACATATTGCTTGTTGCCTGTCCACCGCAATACAAACGAGGTGGAATATAGAGACAGAGGTAAGACCAATATCAAAACTTGAATGAAGCATACAGAAATCATCCCCGTACAACCAGCAACCATGAATGGTCCGAATGGTGCTGAAGGGCATCACAGCGACACCCACAAGAAGGTCCGAAAGAGCAAGAGATAAAATAAGCACATTGGTGGGATTATGCAACTGCTTGAAATGAGCTATTGATACCATGACAATAAAGTTCCCTAGAATGGTAACCAGCATATATGAAACAAACAACAAGTAAAGGGCGACTTTGGTCCCTGCATTGAACTGATCCGTAACACACGAGGCATTAGAGCCCGGAAAACAGAACTGCTCCTGAGAAAGGCCAAACGTCATGATGGAACCAAAGATATGATGCAGAGCCTCAACAGAGACACACATATCTGTGTTAGGGTTGATGGTTGTCTTAGCCACACAAAAAAAACTGCATAGTTAACGCCTTCCAGTATGACGTCCTGGGCCATCCAATCAGAGAGGGTTTCATCAATGTATGAGAAACAGCCTATCACACAATATTTTGTGTTTTAGAAAGACTGACAAACAAACAGTTATGTCATTTTTAAACTGAGTAAAGAACATTTTTTTAAATACATACGCTGCAGTTGACATGTACTTGTGTTGAAAAGTGATGGGGTCATCAGAGGTCAGAATATTTTAAATGGTCTTCACCATATACACTTTTAGGCAGTGTAATTGAGGGATCGAAGTCAGGTTAGAGTAGATAAATACCTACATGGGGCTATACAACTGATGAGTACATGCGTAATAATTATTTTGGGGCGCAAGCTTTTTAAAAAACATTTTACAAATTATACTTTTGGACCAAATCAGCCTTCTCAAAAGGTGAAGGGGACATGTCCCCAGTGTAAATGACACACATGGGAAAATTGAACTATTGCAGTCAAAATATATTAGGTACAAAACTAAATGAATTAATACATATTTTGAGCCATATTACTTGAGTTATAGACCGAACAATTACGATGGGGGGCAATAGCAATATACTATTAGCTCTTAAGTTTGAGTTTTTAAGCATTTTTTGCTACAATTGAAGCACCAGGCTTCCGGGAGTATACCATGAATAGTGGTTAAACAAGTTGTTTAACACGTTTACACTTTTGAAGGCTATATCTGTTATGTTCATTGAAAAAGTTGTTTCTCATGTCATTTCTTTCATTTAAATAACTGTTTTGAAGTGTTCCAGTCAGGCTTTCAACCACACCACAGTACTGAGACTGCTCTTGTTAAGGTCTTCAATGAAATCCAAAACACAGACAGTGGCAGAATCTCGGTTTTAGTATTATTATCTCTGAGTGCTGCATTTGAGACTGTTGACCACAACATATTACTAGACCGACTGGAAAACTTGGTCGGACTTTGGGAAACAGTTCTGAATTGGTTTGAATCCTACTTAAAGGACAGAAACAACTTTGTTTCTATAGGTAAATACACATCTGAGTTGACAAATATGACGTGGGGTTCCTCAAGGCTCCATCCTGGGGCCTCTTCTCTTGATCATCTACATCAGTGATCACCAACTGGTGGCCCGCGGGCCACATCCGGCCCGCCAGACATTCTCATCCGGCCCGCACGACGGGGGTGATTGTGGCGTTGGCGGAGTGGTTACTGCGTTCGCCTCCCACCCATTTTTTTTTTTTACAACGTCCCGTGAGTAAGGTGCAGTACCGGAGTCCAACAGAGAGGCAGCAGCTGCGGGTCTGTAGACTGCGTACTGCGAAACCTTCCCTGCCTTGAACAAGAATTAATCCTTCGTTGTGAAGAGTCTGGTTAATGCACCACAGCAGTAGCCCCGCTGCGACAGAGTCCTACAGAGAGGCAGGAGCTGCGGGACAGTAGCCTAGAAGCAGGGTTGGGTTGTAACGGAATACATGTAACGACGTTACGTAATCAGAATACAAAAATCAAGTAGGCTAACTGTATTCAGCTGGCGTTACATTTGAAAAACGAGTAATCTGATTACAGTTACTTTCGTAAACCTGAAGTGAATACATTTTGGAATACTTATTGGAATTATTGGTGGAAAAGTTTCCTCACAAAATGTAATATTCATTACCGGCAGAACTGTGTGCACACTGCACAGCGCTGCAGGATGTCTGTGAGCGAGAGAGAGATGCTGTCTGTGAGGCCCCGCCCCCGCACGCAGATGAGAGAGAGAGATCTCTTTTAAACTATATTGAAAGTTAGAAACGGAGATGGTTCGATAAAATGTGCAAGATAACGTTTATGTATCAAATCAAAGTGAATGGCCTGCTGCTGCTGAATGCATGGGGAAAGTGACATCGTTTCAGATAATACATAATAATGATAATTCATTCTATTTAGGGGCGCCTTTCAAAGCACCCAAGGACACCTTACAATTCATAACATATTCCAAGGAAAGGTTTTAAGACAGTACAAAGAATGCAGTCTGGGTGATGTTTTTTATGTGGGGTGCAGATGAGAGGGAGCTGTCCAGAATGACACCAAGATGTTGTGTTTGAGTTCTTGATAAGCCATTAAAACAGTAAAATAAGTGTCTCCTGTTCACCAAAACATACCCATCTGTTATGGAAAAAGAAAGTAATCCAAAAGTATTCTAAAAGTAATCTGAATACATTTTTAAGACACGTAACTGTAACTTTATTCTGATTACTTTCAGAGCATGTATTCGGTAACTGATTACATTTACAAAGTAACCCTCCCAACCCTGCCTAGAAGTGATCCTTCGTTAGCGTGAAGAGTCTGCTAAGCTTTATGCGGTCCACAGTACCTGAGCGTGCTCCACTAGCACCCCCCCCCTCCACTTCAAAATTCTGGGCTATATAAAAATCGCTGGCCCGCGATAGTGTCTATTGGATACATTTTGGCCCTTGGACAAATGTAGTTGGTGATCCCTGATCTACATCATAATAAGTTACCATAGCTATGCAGATGACACACACATTTACATAACCATTTCACCAGGAGACTATGCTCCAATTCAAACTCTGAGTAAATGCATTGAAAAAATAAACGACTGGATGTGTCAGAACTTTCGTCAAATAAACAAAGATAAAACTGAGGTAATTGTTTTGGAGTTTTGGAGGAACTAATAAAAGTCAACGCTGAGCTTCAGTCTGCAATGTTCAAAACAACAGATAAAGACAGAAATCTAGGTGTAGTCATGGACTCTGACCTTAATTTTAACAGTCACATTAAAACAATTACTAAATCAGCCTACTATCACTTTAGAATATATCGAGGATTAAAGATTTATGTCACAGCTGATTTGGAAAAACCTGTACATGCTGTTATCTTCAGTAGAATCGACTACTGTATTGGTGTTTTTACAGGTCTCACAAAAAAATCCATTAGAAGGCTGCAGCTGATTCAGAACGCTGCTCGAGTCCTCACTAACACTAAGAAAGTGGATTACATGACATGGACTCTCCACACCACCACCATCACCAAAAAAGCTTGACTGCGGCTCTTCTTCCTCCGCAGGCTGAGGAGGTTCAACATGGACTCCAGGATACTCTGCAACTTCTACAGGTAGAGAGTAGAGAGTATCCTGACTGGCTGCATCACGGCCTGGTACGGCAGCTGCACCGCCTTCAATCGTAAGGCTTTACAGAGGGTGGTGAAAACTGCACAGAACATCACCAGGACAGAGCTGCCATCCATGGAGGACCTTTACTCCCAGTGGCTCAGGAAGAAAGCCCTCAGGATTATAAAAGACCCCCATCACCCCAGCCACAAACTGTTCTGTTTGCTGCCGTCTTTCAGGCGATACCGCAGTATCCGGTCTAAAACCACCAGACTCAGGGACAGTTTCATCCCACAGGCCATAAGACTGTTAAACACCTGAACTGTTGAAACAACATCTGTTAAACACCTGAACAACATCCATAATATTCATCTGGCTGCTACTTAGAAATTATTTATCTATTTACCTAATATATCATATTCCAATAACTTGCATAGACTCTTATTGCACTATTTTACTATTTCACTTTTTTAAACAATTTTTGTATTTACTATTTACTTGCACTATATATTTATGTTTATCTGTGTTATTGTGTTGCACTGTTGGAGAAGGCTGTGACCTAAGATTTTAATTGTCATAACTACACTGTAGCTATGTTCATATGACAAATAAAGAACCTTGAACCTTGAACATCAGTCCAGTTCTGAAGTATTTACACTGGCTTCCTGATAATAGCTGCCCACTGCTCCTAGTACTAGACTCCTGGTACTAGGATGAGTTAAATGCAGAGGCCAAATGTCACTGTGTGTGCTGTGTGCTCTGCATGTGTGACCATTAAAAGAGGGTTTCATCCCTCCCAATTCTAATTCTGTCTGTCAAATAATTGATTTCAAAATACTGCTGCGGGTTTATAAAGCTTTGAATTTAGGCCCAAATACATTTCTGACCTACTGCTAAATTATTAACCATCCAGATATCTCAGGTCTTCTGGGACAGGTCTGCTTTCTGTCAGAACTAAACATGGTGAAGCAGTGTTCAGTTATTAATTAGGGCCGGGACTCGATTAAAAAAATTAATCTAATTAATTAGAGGCTTTGTAATTAATTAATCGAAATTAATCGCATTTTTAATCACATATAAATATTTGACCTAAGAACAGTGAGAAGCAATTTTTTTCGCATGGATTTTAGTATACCATTAGGCGCATTCACACCGCAGTACTTTTCCCACAAAGGTTCATGAGAACTCTTTGAACCTGGGGGTGGATTAGGCAAATGAAGCCGCTGACGTCACTTCTTCTTCTGCTTCAGTAGAAGCTGCTGGGACTCCCAGCAGCTTCTACTGAAGCCTTCCGAGTAAATCGCCAGAACGCCGACACCTCCTCATCTCCACCGCTCCCATGTTCTATTTTGTGTTGCCATAAATTAGTCTCTCTGCGTTTCTGCGCTGGGCTAATGCTAATAATGCTAATGCGAGGATAATAAAATTCACAAAACTTTTTGGGAGTTTTACGGGGCGTGGTTTGCAATCCACCCAGCCAATCAGAAATATAGCTCTTTTCTCACAAGAGAGCCGTACGAAAGTCCCTGCTCTCTAGCAGCTCTCTGCTCTCTAGCAGGGACTTTCGTGGGGGTAAAAAGGTTCTCATGAACTAATTTTAGTACCGGCTCTTTTGGTGTGAACGCGATAAAAGAGGCTAACGTCCACGCTAGCTTCCACGCTAGCTGCTATATGTTTAGCATTGAGGTGATACTTGAGGCTTGATGTGCTGCGGTGATATGCAAATTCCTTTTTGCATAATTTGCACACAACCGTGCTCTTATCGACGCTTCCATCCGTCCGTTTTTTAAAACATTTCCCACTGTTGTTCACTGTGGTTTGTTGTTGTCTGAAGTCATGAACGTTAGTTGGTGCTCCAGTATAATCGGTACGCCTGAAACTCATCCAGTGAGAAACGTTCCGCTGTGCAAAAATAAGTGCGATTAAAATGCGTTAATTTTTGTGTAATTAATTAATCTTAATTAACGCGTTAAAGTCCCGGCCCTATATGTGTCATGTACACTCTACAGAGCCAGGGCCCTCTTCAGTTTTGTCAGGAAGGTGTGTGGAAGAGGTGAAGGACAGTGACAGTGGCAGTACCAGTGTAGATGACGAGGATGAAGGCTCCAGTGAAGACAAGAGAAGGTGCACAGAAAGGGACAGACAAAGTGAGGAAAGGGACAGACAAAGTGAGGAAAGGGACAGACAAAGTGAGGAAAAGGACAGACAAAGTGAGGAAAGGGATTGCCTGTAATGCCCCTTTCACACCAACGCGTTTTCAGCTCCGGCTCGGAGCTGGAGCCTGAAAAGTGCCGGTTTTTCCTATTCACACCGCAGCGGCGCCGCCTCTTAGCTCCGGAATCCGGTTCACTTCCAGCTCCAAAAAAATGTTGGTCTAGGGCAAGAGCTTCGGAGCTAAGAGGTGGCGTCGCTTACATCTCTCTTACGTCGAGGCGTGCAGGAAACTAAACCCACCTCCCCTGAACATGGGTCGACTGTCATGACTGCCTACAAGCAGTAGTGCTTATAAACACACTTTATAAAGTCAGGCAACACTAA